GGTGAATTGTGCTGCTTGCTATGAACATAGGGGTGCATATATCCTTTCTGATTGGTGTTTCTGGGTTCTTGGGATATATTCCTAGAAGTGGGATCACAGGGTCAAATGGGAGTTCCATTTGTAGTTTTTTCAGGAAACTCCATACTGTCTTCCATAGTGGCTGCACCAGTCTGCATTCCCACCAGCAGTGCACAAGTGTTCCTTTTTCTCCACATCCTCTCCAGCACTTGTCGTTTGTTGATTTGTTGATGATAGCCACCTGTGACCATTTTGTAACTACCAATCTGTTCTTCTTAATCCCTTCACCTTTGTCACCTAGCCCCCCTCCCCTCTGGCAACCATGAGTATGCTCTTTGTTTTGTTTATTTGTCTATTTTGTTTTTAGATTTCACACAAAAGTGAGATTATATGGTATTTGTCTTTGACTGACTTGGTTCAGTCAACATAATGCCCACTAGGTCCATCCACACCGTCACAATTTAAACCACCTCTTAAATGAAAATACATGCCAGAATAAGAAGTAGCAACACACTCATATCCTTTCAGTGCTCCACCCAGAGGAACATCAGAGACCCAGGACAGGCTGGCCACCGGCCCTACCAGAGGCTGCTGCGGAGACCTTGCTGCTGGCAGCAAAGTGGTAGAACGGTGGGTTGTCACAGTGCTGGACGATGGGGTTCACGGGCTCCGTCTGCTGCAGCTCGAAGAGCAGCTCTTCCATGGTTTGAATGGTGTTATTACGGCACAAGTATATCACCACCTTTTTAATCTAAGAAGAAAAACAGAACACAGGGACGTTTCAACAATAATGCCAGTGGGTTGGCAGCAAAGAATGAAGTTATCCCCAGGAGCTATCAGCCTGGTAGCTGCTCAGAGATAATCCTAGTGTCTGGATTAAAACTCACCTTCTCTATAGCCCATCTGATGGGAGTGTGTGTCAAAGGCCTTGCCCTTCCTTATGGCTGAGTTTACAAAAGTTACTTTTGGGGCTCCTGAAATCTACCTAAAAGCAAAAAACATGCCATCTAAAGTCTTATCTTGAGAAAGGATTTTATTTATACAAACCATGGGAAAAAACTGAGAGCTATTTTTGTTTAAAAAGAAATCCGGTCCCCTGCTATTCTCTTCTCCCCTAGAAACAAATGAATTTTAGCTGTTTGGATGATTTTACATTTAAAAAAAAATAACTCTGATAACTCTGAAATAAAGCTCTGTGCTACTGGAGCCTTCAGAGTTAAACGTGAGGTGTGGAAGCTGCAATGAGGCTGATGGAGCTTAAAACAGCAGGTGGGCCCAGGATCTCTCAGGAAACAGCCATACACAAATGCCAAGTGAGTTAGGGCTTAAAAATGCTGTTGTTGATGATGATCATGTCACTTTTGATTACAAACACCATATACTGGGCATCTCAGAAAGATTTCTCTCTGCTTAGATTTATCTTCTACCAACTGAATTTGAAGAGAAAAATCTGGGTATTCTGCATTTTTATTCTGTTTTAAGAGCATCAAAATGTAAACATGAAATATTTTTATTAGAAATAATATGCTTTACTTAGTTTCTCTTACATAATGGGTCTAATGTTTATAGAAGTCAGCCTCAGTAACTGATAAGAGAACATTCACCTCTTAAATCATAGGCTTCTGTGTCCAGAGGCTTGGCAAGGGGATGACAGAGGCATCACTAGGACATTGCAGCCTGTTGTCAGGGGGCAGAAGGGACCTTTTATGTAGCATCTAGACAAGATCATGGGAGATGAGCATGACTGACCATATTAGACATCGCTATTTAACTTGGAGCAAAGGGCACATTCTGACTTGCTCTTGCAGATGGAGCCACCAACAAGATAACGCCTGCTGAGAGCCCAGGGAAACTTACATAGGGCAAGAGAAGTGTGTCACTGCTAACCCCACACAGGCTGATCAGAAACTGCAGGGTGACCCTCAAGTTGTTACTCCACTTCTCATTGTTGACTAGAGCATTCCAAACATTTTCCATTTCCGGTCCAGGAACTTCATCCCCATACTGCAACAAACAAAAGAAACACTGACCCAGGAGACATGGGGAAAACACAGGAGTGCAGAATGTTTGATTATAAGTTCTTTTAAGGGTCATGGCTATCTCGAAGCCATAGAAGGGGACACATGGCCAGCCATCCGAAAGATGCCACTTTCAGCAATTTATAATGCACAAATTAGTAATGCACAATGCTTACTCATGTGATTAAAAATGTTAGACTTCCTATTTTATAATTTTTAAAACTGTGGTAAAATACATATAACATAAAGTTTACCATCTTAAACATTTAAAAAATATATATTTTTATTTATTTCAGAGAGGGAGCGAGAGGGAGAGCGAGATAGAAATATCAATGATGAGAAAGAATCACTGATCAGCTGCCTCCTGTACGGCCCCCACTGGGGATCAGGCCCACAACTCGGGCGTGTGCCCTTGACTGAAATCGATCCTGGGACCCTTCAGTCCACAGGCCGACACTCTATCCACTGGGCAAAGCTGGCTGGGGCTTAACCATTTTTCAGTGTACAGTTGGAAGTTTAAGTACAGTCACAGTGTGGTGCAGCCATCACCGTCACCCTGTTCACGTGATTTTTAATGACAATTGCCACTCTCCCTGGGTTTGCAGCCTAGGGTTTGATGAGCTCAGATTTTCTGGGATGATGGAGCCATGTTATGGGGGCACGATACCTTCGCCGTCATGTACATGAGGTTATTCAGGACTAGAGACGTAGCTTCTGGGGAGCCCCAGCCATTCCCTTTCAGCCCATGAGAAGTGGTCACTTCTCCTTCCTGGTTCTTGCTGTCATCCTCTGGATTACTGGGGCTCGACCCTGGGAGGAGGAGTTTGCTGTCCACCAGCTCGATGTTGTGCAGCCAGGGCAGCAGGTAGGTGAGCATAATCTGACGCCCATTTGGGTGCGTTGTGGGGAACCTCTGGCTTACCTCTAAAGAGAAGGGTGGTGATGGAGAGCCATGTGTTATGGCATTAAAATAAAGTAAAATATTAACACTACTGACAGCACAGGGCACTTGCATACACAGCAGCTCCCCAAGGCCATAAAATCTTAAAACTGATGCTTGCCCTCTAGCCTTTCCCTTCAAATCTGGTGCCCTGTGGGGGAAAGTGAGAAAGCACAGTGGGAAGAGCATGGCTTGGTGAGAGTGGAGTGAGGGGGGGGCCCCCTGAGTTCAATCCATTGCTGATAGAAGAGGTACATTAGAGTGGACAGAACAAGGGACTTGAGACCAAAAGAACATGTGATTAGATCCAGTGCCTCCACACACTAGCTGCACGACACTCTGGGTTAGTTACTTAACTTCTCTGTTCCTCAGTTTCCTCATCTGTCAAATGAGGCCACTGGGTTCCACATTGGGCTATTGTGAGGGTTAAAGATAGAATCATAATGTATGTTATATGCTCGGCTTGGTGCTTGTTATTTTGTAGGCTCAAATAAACAGTGGCTAGGACTATTCGAACAGTGGCTGTCTTTCCAGTGTACCGATAGCATACCAATAGAGCATCTTCTATGCCAGTGATGGTGAACCTTTTGAGCTCGGTGTGTCAGTGTTTTGAAAAAACCTAACTTAACTCTGGTGCTGTGTCACATATAGAAATTTTTTTATATTTGCAACCATAGTAAAACAAAGACTTATATTGTTGATATTTATTTTACATATTTAAATGCCATTTAACAAAGAAAAATCAACCAAAAAAATGAGTTCGCGTGTCACCTCTGACATGAGTGTCATAGGTTCGCCATCACTGTTCTATGCACTACTAGCTGTTAAAAAGTGGAATGGAAGTCTCCGGGAAAAACCCATCCATTGTGCAAACTCCTGTCCATGAAGCCCACTTGAAAACTGCCAACTATGTGGAAGCTCCATGCTCAATGTTCTGTTTCATGACATAAATGAATCAAAGGGTGAAACTATGCATGCAGCCCAGTCATTTCACTACAACTTTCTCTGATAGCATGTTGCATGCATTCACAGCCAGAGGCATTTTAATTTCATAACATGAATGAGCTTTCTATAGAAATAAAAGCACAGCTTTATGTATGTGCTGCAAGATCTAAGATAACCTCTGATTTCTACCTTCTCCCACTCAGTGAATAAACTTGCTAAAATAAAACCTCACTCATCCTCTGACTAGCCCCACCCTCCCTCTTTCCTTCTTTCGCAGCCACAGAGCTGAGATCTGGCTCCTGCTGCTATATCTCCAAGGAAACTACTGACAGTTACCAATGAATTGAGAAATCCAGAGGGTAATTTTAGATCTTATCTTTTGGGATCTCTATTCCATTCAAGGCTGTGGACTGTTCACTCCCTCCTCATAAATCTTCTTTCTTCAGGTTTCCATTAAAATCACCTAGACAGTGGGCCTAGGTGTTCTCTCTCAATGCGCCTCCATGCCCTCCCTCCCCCTTCCTTCCTTGACCCAGTGCTTGGAAATTGGGTGTCTAGGTTCTTTCTCTCACTCTGGGCTCTGTACAAACACAATCTCATCTGCTCCCTTGGTTCTAAATCCTTCTGTTCCTCCATGAGGTGCTAGTGCTGGCCTCCCCTTGATGCTGGTCTGTCTATACAGAGACCTTCACTCAGTATCCCAAGCTGAGCTCATGTTCCCCACTTCACCCTAAACCTTTTCTTCTCCCTGAATGGCTCTCAAGATGGGGTCATCAACACTGGCCCCCAGATTCACACAGGCACTCTCTTTTGTGTGCTCCACCCAGGACTCATCACCCTGGTCTCTCCTCTCCACTCGCTCGGGGCTGTCTTAGTTCCAGCCTTCATAACTTCCTCCTTGGATGACTGTCATCATTTCTCAGCTGGTCTCCTCTCTCTAGACTGCATGTCCTCTAGTGCTCCCTCCACACTATAGCCCATCTTTCTAAAATGCATTCTTGTTTGAAACTCATCAGTGGCTTTCAAAACCCAAGCACCTTGTCAGGATGCCTTCCCTGTTGTTCACAGGGCTCCGAGGGATTTCAAGAAAGACATGGAGATCATTGCCCTACACACTCCTTAGGGAGCAATACAAGGACTTCCAGGATTTGACTCCTGCTTCTATCTGTCCATGACCTTCCCCTGTCCCTGTATATATTATGTTAGCCAATTGACCACTATATAGTCTCTCAAATACAACCTGCTATTTGACACCTCTGAGCCCAAGCATACAACATTTCCTTGGTCTGTAATGCCTACCTGCTTACCCACATAATGTCAACTATTTGTCTGCTTTGCAAATTTCTACTTCTTTTGAACTGCAGCTCAGACATCACATTCTCTGAGAAGTCTTTCTGATATCCCTGGCCCAATAATTGATCACACCTTCATCTTCCAGCAGAATGTGCTTTATTTATTGCAGTTTCTACACTGTATCACAGCCATACAATTGTAAGCCTTACTTTATTACTAGATTATGATGAACCTTTGATGGGAGAGACTGTTTTATTTACCACTGTATTCTGAGGACCCATGGACAGTGCCTAACATTGAGGTGGCCCTCAACTCTTGGTTGAAGTAAATAAAAATAAAATTTACTTTTTGAAGGAGAGAATTAATTTATTGAAAAGGATTTTCTTGGGTGAAGAGATTAACCAAATAGCATATATGCATAGCCTTTGGATACAGACAATAGTGTGGTGATGGACAGAAGGAGGGGGTGGAGGTTGGCTAGAGGTAGGCAAAGGAGGGGAAAATGGGGACATTTGCAATAGTGTCAATAATAAAAAAGGCTTTTCTTGAGTCCTCCCCGCACTGTTTCAGGCACCATGTGAGGATGTGGCTCATTGTCTCAGGTAGATGGAGAGGTTTTACAAAGTAGTAGATTTTAAATAGATCTTAAGGACGATTATGAATTAGGGAGAGGGCCACTTCCAGTAGAGGAAGCAGCATGAACAGAAGCAAGGATTACCTGAGAATGAAATAAAGGTTTGCTGGGTAAAAGGCAGAAAGCAAGTTTGGAACAGGAGGTGTCTTCTAGGTGAAAGTGTTCCAATTTTCTAGCACTGGCTTTGGGGAAAGGTGTCTCGATTTAATTCTGACTTGGCTGCTTCCTCATTATATGGTTTTGAGCAAATTACTGAACATCTCTAAGCCTTAGCTTCTCATCTGTAAAATAGAAATGATGATTGCAATGGTAGTGGTGATGGTGACAATCCCATGCCAGGACTGGGCTAATAGCTTGACTATTATTAGCTCATTTTAATCCTCACATCCTATGAGGTAGTTTTTGTTGCAGACAAATATATAGAGTTTAGAGGCTCTGTGACTTGCCTGTGGTCCGGCAGCGAGTGCATGGCCGGGCCAGTGATCAACCCAGGCTGCCTGACTCCAGAGCTTCACTTCTAACCTCTGCTCATGGGGTCTAAGATTAAATTATAAGTGAAATGTATATAAAGTGCCTAGAACAGAGCCTGGCACATTAATCACTCAATAGCTAGAAGCTGTTATTAGCAATTTTTAGGACGACTGGGCAGACATTTGAGTTAGGAAGTGCTGTATATATTTGGTTTTGCTTTGCAGGTGGATGGCAGTCAGGGTGTGTTACGGGGGGAGGGGGGGAAGCAGGGGCAGGACTCATGAGGATTTGGACTAAGGCAGTGGAGATGTAGACAAAGGAGATGAATTCAAGATACCAAAGTCAACCTCCCCTCTAGGTACTATGTGTGCTGAGGCAAAACTTAATTGACCAATACAATTTTTTAAAATAAATTTATACAAAAATTATTTACAAAGATTATTTGCAAAGATGTGCCAAATACAAAACTCACAACAATTCATATATGTAGCAACATACAAGCTACAAATCACCTTTATCACCACCACCCGCAAACAATTTGCAGCAATTATATGTGTTACAAGTTACACCACCTATATTTCATTTCTTTGGAAAATTTTACATAGATAATCTTGCTTGTAAGAACATGATTAATCTAAGTATCTTTGCATTTGTCCCATATTTATTTATACCTACACTGTTTTAGATAAACAGATACGTTTACATTTAAAGACATTCTAAAATTTACTTTTGTATGTAACTGGACTTAATCCATAATAATTTTGATCTATAAATTTAGCACAAATAAGTATGACTCTAAATTGGCATTAAAATTTAAAAAGCAAGGTTAATTAGAGCAGAAATGATCATACATGTCATCACTGACGATTGTCTGGTACCTGAGAAGAGCGGGAGAGTGAGCTCGGGATACATCCTGGCCAGTTCACATGACAAGAGGGCTAGGGACATGCTGTAGAGGGGTGGCAATGGGCTGTGGGTTCCATAGAGAATACTGCCAGGTCTTTGTTCAGCTACTTTCTTTGAGTAAACAAAAAGCTTTGCTTCAAGGATCTATAAAGAGGTAGGAAAGTAAGAAACAATACAGAAAAATATTGGCTACATCAGGAGCATTTCTATTTAATAAAGGTTCAAAGTAAACTAATGAATATGATAGTATTCAATACAGTAGTACTTAATATAGTTGTATTCAGTGGAGAGCATCAGTTAATTCCTATTTACAGTGATATGCACATATGATATAAAAAAATGCATATCAAGAAACAGCAACCCAGGGATCAACCCCCATTTCTATTTTCTGTGCCCAAGGGTGGATGCTTCTGACACTAAATGGTACATGCCTGCATGAGCTGCATGGAGATTTCATAGGTCTCTCTGTTGGTGTCAGAGGCCTTAAATAGAACAAGGTTTAACAATGTCACTATGTCGAAGGGATAGTTCCTAAAAAAAAAAGACCAAAAAGCACAGTTTATAAGACTGCCTGACTAGTAATCTTAATAAACCAATTACCTCTCAAATCCTAGAAGGCACACTTATTAATGACATCCCATGCTCATTTGGCAATTGTTTTGCCTCCTTCTTTTTAAAAAAATCCTTTATCCTTTAAAGTATTATATGAGTCTCCTTTTTTCCCCCATTGACCTCGCCCCCACTACATCCTCCCCCAAGCACAAGCCCTCACCCCGCTACTGTCTGTGTCCATTGGTTTTGCTCAAATGCGTGCATACAAGTCCTTTGGTTCATCTCTTACCCACTCACCCCCCGCCTTCCCTCGTAGGTTGGACGGTCTGTTTGATGCTTCTATGTCTCTGGTTCTATGTTTGTTCATCAGTTTATACTGTTCATTATATTCCACAAATGAGTGAGATCATGTGATATTTATCTTTCTCTGACTGGCTTATTTCGCTTAGCATCATGCTCTCTAGTTCTATACAAGCTACTGCAAATGTAAGACTTCCTTCTTTTTTTACAGCAGAGTAGAATTCAATTGTGTAGATGTATTGCCTCCTTCTTTTGCTCTTCATTAGTAGATAGAGGGAAATAACTCTATTTTTTGCTTAAAATTGAACATTGTCACACCAGGAGAAACAAACATTAAAAAATATATCTAATACATACGTTTTAATGAAAAACAAATACAAATAGAAAGGACAGCATTTAGATGACATGTTTAAATTTCTCAATAGCTCACTGATTTAATATTTTCATTCAATCTCTCTACATTTATTAAGCAAGAAACATATACCATGAACAATTGCAAAGTACTTATGATACTACTAGAGGCCCAGTGCACGGATTCATGCACCAGTGGGGTCCCTTGGCCTGGCCTGCAGGGATCAGGCTGAAACTGGATCTCCAACATTTCCTGAGGGGTCCCAGATTGTGAGAGGGCACAGGCCAGGCCGAGGGACCCCACCAGTGCATGACTGGGGCCGGGGAGGGGCTGTGGGAGGACTCCAGGGCATGTCTGACCTGTCTGGCCCAGTCCCGATGGGCTGGACCCTTGCAGCAAGCTAACATACCAGTCAGAGAATCTGCCCCCAGGTGGTCAGTGTGCATCATAGAGACTGATCATATGGTCAAGCAAACAGTTGGACATTTGGCATATTAGGCTTTTATTACATAGGATTAGTGAGGCTGGTCACCTAAGGGCAGCTTCCAGTATATTTAGGGAGACAAAACTATACAGTCTAGTTATGATGAGCAGTATTATGGCAGGCTTTGAACTCTCGATGAGGGACACCTAAATCAGAGTTGGGTCAGGAAAGGCTTTTCCCAGGGAGAGACAAATAAACTGAGCCTCAAGCCACAGGAGACATCAGCCAGGCCATGGAAGGGTGGTATGGGAGTGTTCTGGGCAAAGAGAACATTTTAAAAAATTACAAGAATGAAACAGCAAGATACCTTGTGAAAAGGAAAAACTCTCTGAGTAAAAGAAATAAGTAGGAGAATAGAAGGTGATGGATCTGGGGAGGGGAGAGATGTGTAAAGATCCTACAGGATTTGCAGTGGGGGTGGGGATGAGGTTATGTGTTAAGAAATGACATTAGGTTTTGAACACTTACTCTGGCTGCTGAATGGAGAATGGGTTGCAGGGGGTCAATATTGGATGCTGTGACAATCATCCAGATAGGAATTGATAAGGGTTTGAATTAGGGCAGGGACAATTGAAACAGAAGTCAGCAGGATTTAGTAATTGATTGTATGTGTGGTATGAAAGCTAGGGGAAAATAGGGACAGAGACAACAAAGTATGAGGCAATTAGAGGCATAATCAAATAGAACATGGAGATCAAATCCACTATTTCTTGCTATGGTATATTATTTAAAGATGATAACTTTTTACTGTATGCATTTTCTTAGCTATAGTAGATATGAGGTCACAAATGGAAAATTTCTGGTGAGAAAAATATTAGTGAATGGTCTGTACCAGAAGACTTCCAAGAAATCTATGGAATTTTATTACACAGAGAAGAGATTAAAAAAACAATCCCATTTATCACCGCACCAAAAAATTTAAGATACTTAGGAATAAACTTAACTAAACAGGTAAAAGACCTGTACTTGGAAAACTACAGAACATTTAAAAAGAGATAGAAGTAAGACATAAACAGATGGAAGAACATACTGTGTTCATGGATTGGTAGAATCAGCATCATTAAAATGTCCATATTACCCAAAGCAATCTATAGATTCAATGCAATCCCCATTAAAATACCAATGGCATATTGATATTTATTTTAAGGCAACCTTCAGAAAGCAGAAGGTAGCTTGAAGGTAAAAAACATATTGGTTATTCTGTGGGTTCCTTTATTGATTGTATATAATTATACTGTCTCAGAAGTTCTGTTTTGGAACTTTCACTCTTCTAGAAAGGCACAATCCTACTATGAATACGGGCCCATCTTATGGTAGGTAAGCTTAGAGAGAGATTATAGTGAGAGTTGCTTAGACACATAAAAAAAGATTTGTACTTTTTATATTCTATATTACTTAAATTTTAATTGTTTATGGTACTAGTAATACATGAGTATATTTTCCTTTTAAAAGAAACACATGAGGCTGGAGGACCCACTCTGAAGATGCTCCACTTACATGGCTGGCAAGTCAGTGTTGGTTGTAGGCAGGTGCACAGAATAAAATGTGGATGTGCCCCATCTCCTTTTCTCCCCCAGCCATTGCTTCTGACCCTACATTCAACCACTGTCAACATTTTGGTGTGTGTCCTAGCCCTTTTTTAAGTCAATATACAAAGAGGTATATGTACATACCCCACCCTCACTACATAGGATTTTAAACATAAATGTGATTATACTACCTACATGTAGTGCTTGGAATTTAGGGTTTACAGTGAACAATAAGGCCTGCTTTGGACTTATTTAAAAGCTGCAAAGTATTCCAAAGTGTGGACAGACTATAACCACTTTTGTAGGGGATGCAGTGGTGTACCACTTAGAGTCCCCTTTCAGAACCCGGCACTCAATCCTCCAACTGAAGTTTTGGAGGCTGATGTTGCTGGCTGAACCCTCTCTAGTAATTGCCTTCAGCCTGAGAGATGTACTCAGGCCAAGGTCATGCTTGCTCCCCAGCAGCAGCAGCCCCTGAGGGACTGGTTGAAGTTTTCACTTCTCTGCCCAGCTCTACTTCCTCCACTTCCCCATAGATGTTGACCTCATGGGGTTTTACTAATGAATTTCCTGCACTCAGATCCTCTGTTATTCTCATTTTTCACTATTATAATGCCACAAACACCAGATGTGCAAGTATTTCTTTAAAACAGATGCCTACAAGACATCATGCAGGGTCAAAGAGCACATTTATATTTTGGGGAGATACTGCACTATTGCCTTCCAAAATGGCTTTACTAATTTGTACTCCAAAATAATTACTTTTCTAGAACTTTCAGTTTCAAAAGAACAAAAAAGCATGAGGCTGATGTGTCACATAGAGAATTTGGGAAAGCCCCCAGATGATGGTGGTGAAGGGGATGATGAAGGAAAGGTGACGTTTATGTTATGATGTGCTTGCTTTGTGCCAGTTACTGCCTTTACCTAGATTTGTGATTTAATTGTCACAAAATGCTGGTGAGGCTTAGAGAAGCTAAGCACTTGCCCAACGTCATATAGAAGTAGTGGATCCTAGACTCCCTCCTGGATATGCCAAACTCCAAAGGATTCATGCATTTACCCACAGTGTTCCTAGCAGCCCACAGCAGAACATGTCACGACCAGTCTACATTGGAATTCTTACAAGCTACAATATCTGAAAGCAGAGCATTCTGATTGTGAAAACAGAAAGGACATTTTCTTCTGAGCCCCATAGTGCAGAGGTGGCCCTACCTATATCTCTATCTTTGACATTGGGACTTAATTCATATATTTATATAAAGAAGAATACTAGAAACACTACTTGGAATTTAAAGGCAGGAAAAGAACAGACAAAAGCCTGTATTTTAAGTGGGGCTGTGCACTTGACCAAGTAATGAGGGCATTCATTAGTTGCTTAAGAATGACCTGTGGAATTATTTTGAAACAATACTGAGAGGAATAACACAGATCCAGAAAATGAAAAAAAAACCCAGATAAGGAAAAGTGAGAAAGATATAAAATGAGCAAGAGAGAACACATAAACCATGTGAATGCAGTTATATTAAAAAGGCTTAGAAATGGAATCTTATACCTCCCAGCATTTAATTATTCATCATAGGCCCTCTGGAATGGCACAAGATGAATAAAGGCAGCTGTGATTATACAGAATAAAAATCAAATGGTGAAAGGTAGGTATGATTCAGAAAGTACTAGTAAACAAGAAATAAAAGTGTTTTTTTCAATCTAGAAAAGAGATTTTTAAAATATATATTTTTATTGATTCAGAAAGGGAGAGATAGAAACATCAATGATGAGAGAGAGTCAATGACCAGCTGCCTCCTGCACATCCGCACTGGGGATCGAGCTCACAACCTTGGGCATGTGCCCTTGACGGGAATTGAACCTGGGACCCTTCAGTCCACAGTCTGACACTCTAGCCACTGAGCCAAACCAGCCAGGGCTAGAAAAGAGTATATTTCTGAAGAATTTGGGAAATACCCACTAGCTATGGTTTCTTTAGAACTAAATGACAAAGGATAACTTTGAGGGATTCTTTTAATAGATATTACTAGTCAATGGAGGGGATTACTCTGTAGCTTTTTGCTTCTAACAGCTAGTGAATAATAGTGTTTACAGGGTGCTTTTTAGGTGCCAGGTCTCAATTCAAGAGACTTATTTTATTTAATCCATGTGCTAACCTTATTATCACTCCCGTTTTACAGATGAATAAGAATTTGTAGTAACTTGCTCAAAGCGCACAGGTTGAATTCAAACTCAAGATACTTAAGTTTCCATCTTTTCATATATCTGTTTGTCATTTGTATGCCTTTCTGGTAGAAGCATCTATTCAGGT